AGTGGAAGGAAGGCGGGGTAGGGGTCGGCCTAGGAAAAGGTTGGAGAGAGGGGGTAAAGGAGGTTTTGTGTGCGAGGGGCTTGGACTTCCAGCAGGTATGCATGAGCGTGTTTGATAGGAGTGAATGGAGACAAATGGTTTTTAATACTTGACGTGCTGTTGGAGTGTGAGCAAAGTAACATTTATGAAGGGGTTCAGGGAAACCGGCAGGCCGGACTTGAGTCCTGGAGATGGGAAGTACAGTGCCTGCACTCTGAAGGAGGGGTGTTAATGTTGCAGTTTAAAAACTGTAGTGTAAAGCACCCTTCTGGCAAGACAGTGATGGAGTGAATGATGGTGAAAGTTTTTCTTTTTCGGGCCACCCTGCCTTGGTGGGAATCGGCCAGTGTGATAATAATAATAATAAAATAATAATAATAATAATAATATCTTTATTTACTACACGTACATGTACAAGGTATACAGGCCTAGCTGACATCAGTGACATACTACTGTATAGAAAGGCACTTGTTATGCTGAGTATTTCAAGAAAATTAGGTCAGTGTCCCAGGATAACACCCACACTAGTCGGCTAACACCCAGGTACCCATTTACTGATGGGTAAACATAGACAACAGGTGTAAAGAAACACGCCTAATGTTTCTACCCTGGCTCGGAATCGAATATTTACCAAAAATTATATATGGCTAGCCCAAGCCAGGTACTAAAATAAGCCACGTTGACTTTTTTGGGGTTATCCTAGGTTCTCTACACATGCTGCTATGTGTGATAATCTATAGAGAGAAAATAACTTTTTTGTTTATGTTTATTGTGGAGTACGAGTGTATATCATAGTTAACCCTGTGCTACACTCCGTTTTCTCTAATATAAGCCACCAAGACAGAGATAGGAGAATGGTATTTGTTTACCATATGCTCTTCATACCTTCGTCGAACTGCTCGGTGTTGTGCCAAATATTATTTATTCTGGAGTATTTAACATGTTTTATGTTATTTATATTGTTGATTATGTCATATTAGACCAGTTGTGACAGGCAAATAAGTTGTAGTGTTGATATTAGCATAATAATAAAGCATATTCTCCTGCTTTGTGAGACTGAGCTCATGGCAACCGACAGTGGCTTCAAAGCCACCTTATCTTTAATGGATAATGTACTGTGTAGGTGCTTTACATAATGAGAAGCATTTCTTTTATTCATTGGAACCATGGCTAGGGCTAAAAGTAAGCAGGTTAAAACAATAAATGGAGAAAAAGAAATTGGAATGACTTGTGCAGCAAGTAGCGCCACCAAACAGTACCAGCAGGTTGGTGTGGCGACCCTGGAATTTTGAAATTATGCTAGCCAAAATTAGTGCTGAGTAACTGAAGGAACCCAATAACTGATTGCCGGATTTGTGATGGCGGACCTGTAGTGGTTAACTGTTTTACAATCTTATTTAAACTTAATACAAATGAGAGGTAGTAAGGTGGAGTAGGGTTTGTAAAATAATCTTGAAATTGCACACAAAATCTACCTTACAAGCAATGGTGCAGGTGGTAATATTTTATGGATTGGCAGAATTAAGAGCCTAGAGGTCAAATAATAAAACTAGTTAGCAGATATTTTGGTTGATTTGCTTAATATTGTGAATAAGATGATTTTTTAGCAAAGTCCTAAATTTGTAAGCTGTCAAGGGATCCTTGACTTGTTACATTAGCGAGTTCCAGATCTTCGGGCCTTTTATGTGCATAGCGTTCTTGCATTGAGTGAGTCTGACTCGAGGGATGTTGAAAAGTGCCTTATGCCTTGTATTGTGCCTGTGCATTCTGTTGTAACTGTCAAGAAGTAGTTTTAGGGGAGGGTTTACAGTGGAGTTTAACCCTTTCAGGGTCAGCAGGGCCTCTCGTAAACTTGTTTTCAGGGTCAGAAATTTTTCGAAAAAAAAAAAATCTTATGGAATGATAGAGAATCTTTTCCCGATCATAATGACACCAAAAGTATGAAATTTGATGGAAAACTTACGGAGTTATGCTCTCATGAAGTTAGCGGTCTCGACGATGTTTACGCATCGGCGATTTCGCCCACTTTGAGCCCTATTTTCGGCCAATTCTAATGTACCAGTCCACAAAAATCATACCTATTTTGCTAGAATCCATTTTTTCTATCGAATGAGTACAAGAAACCACTCATTTACCGATTTCCACTATCCAACAATGTTGTCAGAAATTGGCAATTTTGCCAATTTCACACAAATTTCAAAAGATGCCAATTTCCAAATAGGGTCCAGAATAAACAAGACAGACATTTCTGGCACTAAAATAACATTTCCTCTGTTCATTACTCATGTCCCCAGGCCTCTGTTACATTTCTTTTGCTTTCCACTTTGAATTTTTATTCTCAAAAAAAAAAAAAAAAAAAAAAAAAAAATAGAAGATTTATGTTATGCAGACTACTGCATTCATGTAGAAATGGTATAAATAATATCAGGGCACAAAAGACTCAGCAGACGATGCAACATCCCCCAATGAAAAGCAGAGGTGTCACTAGCACGTTAAGAGACAACACAATAAGTGTCAGGGGCCCGAGACTGTTCAACTGCCTCCCAGCATACATAAGGGGGAATACCAATAGACCCCTGGCTGTCTTTAAGCAGGCACTGGACAAGCACCTAAAGTCGGTACCTGACCAGCCGGGCTGTGGCTCATACGCTGGATTGCGTGCAGCCAGAAGTAACAGCCTGGTTGATCAGGCTCTGATCCACCATGAGGCCTGGTCACAGACCGGGCCGCAGGGGCGTTGACCCCCAGAACTCTCTCCAGGTAAACTCCAGGCACTTGTGAAAGAATATTACACTCACCAGTTGACGTGTATTGGACACATGGCATTATTTGTTTACCTTTGAACTTTGGCAAAAATCGAACATTTCTGCTACTTTGAGCTCAATTTCAAGATACTTTTCATTGAGAAATCAATCAAAATCATCTCAATTTCCATAATATGTCTTCCATTCTGTAAAATGAGACCAGGAAAACTAGAATACAACCATAAATAGCATACGAAAATACACTGCAAATTCGCTGTTTTAAACCAAAAACACAGTCGGAGTTTTTTTTCTCATTGTGCACTGTGTGCTGCAGGATTTTTTTTATACCATGCACACTGACCACATAGACCCATTCTTTCATATGTAGGCCTACCAGCTTTCTCTCGCTAGATTTGAAGGTACTGGAATTTATGTGTAGTACTAGTATGGCACCAACCCTGGCATGCAAGCCGTACTAGTATGGCACCAACCCTGAAAGGGTTAATGTTCTGTATGTGCAGCAGGCACAATAATAAGAGTGTACGTCCTGTATATTTAGTAAGTTGAGTCTTTTGAAAAGTGGTGGGGTGTGCTGTCTAGCACAGGAGCTGGTTATCACCTGCACAGCAGCTGTTTGTTGGATTATTAAGGGTCTAAGATGGTTGGCTGTGGTTGAGCCCCAGACACAAATACCATAGGTAAGGTAAGGATATATTAGGAGTGGTACAGGGTAAGGAGAGTCGTTTATGGCACATAGTATTGTATCTTTTGAAGGAGTCCTACAGATTTGGAAATTTTCTTGGCTATGTGATGGGTATGGGACTGAAATTTAAGATTACAGTCAAGGAGAAGACCTAGAAATTTGCCCTCCTTGTGTCTTGATATAGGGGAACCATTTAGCAATATGTTAAGTTGGATATTTAAGGCTCTGTTGCCAAACAGCATGAAGTATGTTTTGTTTATGTTGAGAGTGAGTTTGTTGGTCATCATCCAAGTATATATCTTTAGCAGTTCATTGTTTACAATGTTTCTATGTACAGCTGGGTCTGAATGAGAGTAGACATATGTAGTGTCATCTGCAAATAGAACTGGTTTAAGGAGTTAGGATGCATTGGGGAGATCATTGATGTAGACGAGAAAGAGGAGTGGGCCTAGGACACTACCCTGGGGTACTCCCACAGCTACAGGTTGGACAGTGGAGTTTACTCCATTTGCATGTACATACTGGTGTCTGTCATTAAGATAGGATTTTAGGTAGTCAAGAGAATGTCTTCTGATGCCGTAATGATTCAGTTTGAGGTGCAAGAGATTGTGGTCGACGTATCAAATGCTTTTCGTAGGTCGATAAAGAGCCCCAGAGGATATTCATTTTTATCGAGAGCTGTGTATATTAGTTCAAGCATTTGTATAATAGCACCATTCATAATTTTTTTTGGTCTAACCCAAACTGGCATGGGTTAAGTATGTTGTTGGATGTAAGATAAGAGTAAAGTCGCTTGTGTATTATTTTTTCGAATATCTTGGAAAGCAAGGGCAAGTTTGATATGGGTCTATAGTTGTACAAGAATGGTATACAATACCGACAAGATGAAATTAAGACACGTGTGCAACATCTGGGTATCTTTATTGTAGACGTTTCGCCATCCAGTGGTTTTATTAATACAAATTCCAGGACATAACTTGAAGACAGTAGAACTATGCACAGAGAATAAGGTAATCAGTCCCTCAACCTTGGAGTAGGTGCGAAGAGCACCATAGTCGTCTAGATTCTGAAGCAGAAGCAAGGCGCCTGATGCTTATATACTAACGTCAGGTGGAAATGGGATGGGTAGTAGACGAGGGCATAGTCACTGGTAGGCGGGATTCCCCAGTGGAAGTAGGTCCTACCCAAGGAGATGGGTTATTTATAAGCATCAGGCACCTTGCTTCTGATCAGGTGATCTAGATAACTTGCCACCATTCATATATAAAAAAGCTGCACATGAGCTGTCACCCATTATTGCAACAATGTTTAACAAATCTGTAGCATCCTCAACCTTCCCATCTACGTATACTCGAGACAGCATGGGTCACCCCAATCCACAAAGGAGGTGATCCAACTGACTTGAACAACTATAGACTCAGATGAAATTAAGACACGTGCAACATCTGGGTATCTTTATTGTAGACGTTTCGCCATCCAGTGGCTTTATGTCCTGGAATTTGTATTGATAAAGCCACTGGATGGTGAAACGTCTACAATAAAGATACCCAGATGTTGCACATGTGTCTTAATTTCATCTTGTCGGTAATGTATACCATTCTTGCACAACTTGTCACACTGCATTATCATGGAGTCTTGATTCTGAGGACATGTACATAGCCTTCACGACTACTACTACAACTAACCCATCTCTTTGGGTAGGACCTACTTCCACTGGTGAATCCCGCCTACCAGTGACTATGCCCTCATCTGCTACCCGTCCCATTTCCACCTGACGTTAGTATATAAGCATCAGGCGCCTTGCTTCTGCTTCAGAATCTCCACGACTATGGTGCTCTTTGCACCTACTCCAAGGTTGAGGGGCTGATTACCTCATCTTCTGTACATAGTTCTACTGTCTTCAAGTTATGTCCTGGAATTTGTATTGATAAAGCCACTGGATGGCGAAACGTCTACAATAAAGATACCCAGATGTTGCACATGTGTCTTAATTTCATCTGAGTCTATAGTTGTTCAAGTCAGTTGGATCACCTCCTTTGTGGATTGGGGTGACCCATGCTGTCTTGAGTATACGTAGATGGGAAGGTTGAGGATGCTACAGATTTGTTAAACATTGTTGCAATAATGGGTGACAGCTCATGTGCAGCTTTTTTATATATGAATGGTGGCAAGTTATCTAGATCACCTGCTTTGTTCTTTAATGATTTAAAGATGAGTGAGACTTCAGTGGAATTAGTTGGAGCTAGAAATAGAGTATTGAGGTAGTTGCCAGTGAGGTACTCATTCGGCTGGGTATTTGAGGTAGGAATTTGACTTGCTAGCTTTGATCTTACAGTAGAGAAGAAAACATTAAAATTATCGACCGTATCTGTAGGTTGTATGTGAGGTTCATCTGGTTTAGTTAAGTTTATCTCTCTATTTCCAGATGTTTTCCTAGAGCCCAAAATTTTGGAGAGTGTTTGCCAGGTACTTTTCATATCAACTTTTATTTCACTAAATCTATTTTCATAATACATTTGCTTTGATTTTCGTATTAGTTTTGTGAGTATTGATGTGTATCTTTTAGTAATTAGACCTAATCTGAACTGTTTTTCAAATTGGTGTTTTTTATTAATAGATTTGAGGATACTTTTTGTTAGCCATGTGCTGTTTATCTCTTTTCTGTGATCCGTTTCATTTTGATTGGACAATGCTTGTTATAGAGGTTTAGGGTTTTATGTAAAAAATTTTTGACATCTTTATCGATAGTACTGTCAGCTAGCTCTCTCTGCCAGTTGGCACCTAGTGCTAGTTTTATGTTTATCGATGTCTCATCATGCAGGCGAAATGAGATCTTTCTTGTTTCTTGAGGTAATTTAGATAAGTTGGTTATGAGAAAGGTAGGGTAGTGATCTGTGGTGTTGTCTGTGATTATACCTGCTTGTAGTGGGGATATCGTGTTTGTCCAGATATGGTCAAATAATGAGGCACTTGTCTCAGAGATTCTTGTCGGCTTCATTATAGAGGATAGCAACAAGCTGTTGTTCACAGTATTTGTGAAATCAGCTACTGGAGGGTCAGTTGCTTGGATGAGGTTTATGATGAAATCTCCTGTTAGTATCAGATGGTGTTTATTCAACTCTGACTCAATTATCATGTTTCTAAGGTTACTGCTAAAAGTGTAAGTATTTGTGTGTGGTAGTCTGTAGACTGTGCCAACTGTTATAGGTTTCTTAAGTGTTCTTGATTTGAATGCAGCTATTATGTATTTGCCATTTTCGTCCTGTACATTAGTTGATTTCATACATTCTAGTTCATCAGAGTAATAGATGGCAGTGCCTCCTCCTGATTGGTCAGGCCTGCAGTTATGTATGGCTGTGTAACCAGGTATGGTAAATATGTCTGTCAACTCTTGTATGAACCAGGTTTCAGTAAGTATAATGAAAGTTATAGTAGCATTTAGAGACTTCAGTAATCCAATGAGATCATCATAGTGTTTACTCAATGATCTAACATTATAGTTGAAGACTGTAATGTTCTTGCTGACACTGAGAAGGGTATTAGCCTGACTGGCAGTGTAGTAATGGCAATTACTGTTAGGATTATGTGTGCAGTTGAATAAGAGGTTGATATCAGGATCGATAATTGCATTCATAAGGGGTATGTAGAGAAATAGCCGTTACAATTATTAAAAAACAAAAAGCAATTGATGTTAAACCACTAGCAAATACGAATATGTGAGCTAAAATAATTATTTTATTCTAAAAATAATGGAGCTACTGAATATGAAGGTAAAACAAAGAAAATAACACACTTTAGCACCTTGATTATTTTAATGTTAAAAGTAAGGGTTTCGAGTATAAAATAAAACAAAGAAAATAAAACACTTATAGCACCTGAATTAGTGCCTTAAATAGCACCTAATGTGTCTTAAGTAACTGGGAATTAATTACTGTTATTCACTAATAGATATGAAAATACATGTATGGATTAAATAAGGGTAAATTCTACTATACTACAGCACTGTACATGGTTGATATTGTGTTGAGATATGGCTTAACAAGGTTCAGTCAAACCAGTGAATGAGAGGCAACATGCTATTTCTTGAACATGTATTCACGAAGCTGGGATGGTGGTGCTGGGAGTGTGGGAGTGTTGGGGGATGGCGGGAGGTCTCCCCCGCTGACCCACAACAAGGCAGCTTGGTTTTAGGTGATATGTCATTGTGGAACCCCAGGCACAAATAGCATAGGTGAGGTAGGGGTATATCAGTGAATAGTATAGTGTAAGTAGTACTATTTGTGGTACATATTAATGTATCTTTGAGAAGATGCCAGCTGTTTTAAAAACTTTTTTTATTATGCATTGGATATGGGTTTTGAATTTCAGATTGCCATCAATGTGCAGACTCAGGAATTTTTCCTCTTTATGTTTACCAATAAGGTGTTAAGCATAATGTTTAGTTTGACCTCACTTATTCTACTCCCAAACATAATGTAATAGGTTTTATCTGTATTAACCCTTTGACTGTTTTGATCATATATATACGTCTTATGAACCAATGTGTTTGACATACTGTATATATACTCAAAAATTCTAGTGGCTTCAAATCAAGCAGGAGAAAGCTAGTAGGCCCACATGTGAGAGAATGGGTTTGTATGGGCAGTGTGCGCAATATAAATAAAATCCTGCAGCACGCAGTGCATAATGAGACTAAAAAAAACTCCGACCGTGTTTTTGGATTAAAACGCCAACTTTGAGGTGTATTTTTGTATAGTATTTATGGTTGTATTCTTGTTTTCTAGGTCTCATTTCATAGAATGGAAAACATTTTATATAAATAAAAGTGATTTTGATTGGTTTTCCAATGAAAATATCTTGAAATGGAGCTCAAAGTGGCAGAAATGTTCAATTTTTGCCAATGTTCAAGAGTAAACAAATGATGTCATTGTCCAATAAATGTGCAACTAGCCATTCTAATATGCAGTCATGAATGGGTTGACATTATTTATACAACTATTACAATGTTGCAGTAGTTTGCATAACAGTAAATCTTCTATTTTCTGTGTGAATAAAAATTCATAATAGAAAACAAGAGTATTGTAACAGGGGCCAGGAGACATGACTGATAAACAGAGAAGATGTTATTTTAGTGCCAGGAATGTCTGCATTGTTCATTCTGGATCCTATTTTGAAAATGACATTTTTTAATTTGCTTGAAATTGGCCAAATTGCCAATTTCTGACCACGTTATTGGGTAGTTGAAATCTGTAAATGGGCAGTTTCTTGTACTCAATCGATATAAAAAATGTAGTTCTAAAGAAATAGCTATGAATTTGGTGGACTGGGACAATGGAATTGGCCGAAAATAGGGCTCAAAGTGGGCAAAATCACCAGTGCATAAATGTCGCAAGGGTCACTAACTTCGCGAGAGCATAATTCCATAAGTTTTCCATCAAATTTAATACTTTTGGTGTCATTATCACCAGGAAAAGATTCTCTATCATTTCATTAGATTTTTTTTTTTTTTTTTTTTTTTTTTTTTTTCTCTCAAATATTTTGCGACACCACGAGACACTTCAGGATTTGGGGTTGACAGTCAAAGGGTTAAGTGTTAAGTTTATTGACAGTCACTCAGGTTGCTATTTTTAGCAATAGTGTTGAGTGAGGCTAGATTTGGGTGAAAGATGACAAAAGCCATGTCATCAGCATAGAGAATAGGCGTAAGTTGTTGTGATACGTTTGGAAGATCGTTGATGTATAAATGGAAAAGGAGGGCGCCAAGAATGCTACCCTGTGGTACACCAGTATCCAGGGGTCTTGTTGAGGAGGTTACATCCTTGACAGAGTCATATTGCTTTCTGTTAGTAATGTAGGACTTGATAAGTGCATGGCCTCTTATACCATAATGATCAAGCTTGAGGAGTGGGATGCTGTGATCTACTGTATCAAAAACTTTCTTAAGGTCGATAAAGAGTCTAAATGGGTACAGTGGAACCTCAGCTTATGAGTTTAATCTGTTCCATGACCTTGCTCGTATCCCGATCTGCTCGTATGGTTAGTAAATTTTCCTCATTTAAATGAAATGCAATTACCCTGTTCCAGCAGATTTCCTGCTCTCAGGAGGCAGGAATATGACAATAATATCAACTCTACAGCTTATTTACCTATCACAATTCATCTAATATGACATATTAAACAATGTAAATAATATAGAAACCTGATATATACTCTAGAATGAATAAAATATGTCATGTGGCAAGTAGTGGTGGCCATTCCATACCTCAAGTAGCCGCCTTGTTGTGGGTCAGCAGGGGAGACCTCCTGCCATCCCCTGACACTCCCAACACCATCCCAGCTTACATGTTCAGTTCCACTTCTCTCCTACAAGCTAGCTGTTTGTGAATTGTGTTTTGATCTTTTAATTACCATATCTTGTATCTGCCAAGCAGTCATGACACCCAGTAGGCATACCAGTGTTGCTGACTGACTTACTGACTTGACTGACTGACTTGGTTGACCGACTTACTGACTGACTTTATTTATTTATTTATTTATTTATTTATTTATTTATTTATAATTTGAGCACACATACAGAGGTACAAAAAAATACAGATAAGAGCAGCATGCCAAAGCCACTTATACTATGCATAGCATTACGGGCTGGCTTAAAATTAACTTAAGATTAACTAAGCAATGATGAAATCAGTGAAAAACATTAATGTAAACAGATTACTATAAAGCACAAGTGAGTATTACAAAGACAGGTCATATGGTTGCATGCATTGTTGTAAATTCAGTAGAATGGAGTATTCTTTTAGGTAGTGTATTTAAAAAATAATAAAGTTAGATTGGGTTTTAGGTTTAACATTTATGTGATATAATTGTGAGAAACATTTAAGATATACAATTTATAAGGTTCAGTTATTCAGTATTTATTTGGTTTTGGGTGAGTAAATGATCTTTGAGAAGAGACTTGAATTTACAAACAGGTAGTGTTTCTTTTATATTTACAGGTAATGAATTCCAGATTTTAGGGCCTTTTATGTGCATTGAGTTTTTGCATAGCGTGAGATGGACACGAGGAATATCAAAGAGTGATCTGTGCCTTGTGTTATGGTCATGTGTTCTGTTGAGGTTGGCAAGGAGATGTTTGAGGGGAGGGTTAATATCAGAGTTGAGTGTTCTATGTATGTAATAGGTGCAGTAATAAGTATGGATGTTTTGTATGGTGAGTAGGTTGAGTGTATTGAATATTGGTGGAGTGTGCTGCCTGTAGTGAGAATTTGTTATTCTAACTGCAGCCTTTTGTTGGGTAATTAGTGGTCTGAGATGGTTACTTGTTGTTGAGTCCCCATGCACAAATTCCATAGGTGAGATAGGGTAAATAAGAGAGTGATATAGGGCCAGGAGGGCTGACTGTGGAGCATAGTACCGTATCTTCGATAGTATGCCTACAGTCTTGGAAATTTTCTTAGAAATTTGTTGTATATGTGTATGAAATTTGAGTCTATTATCAAGGTGGATTCCTAAGAATTTTCCCTCTGTTAGCTTTGTGATAGGTGATCCGTTTTATCATTATGTTAAGAGGGACATCTGTAGCTCTGTTACCAAACTGAATGAAGTAGGTTTTGTCAATGTTTAGTGTAAGTTTGTTAGTACTCATCCAGGTAGATATTTTCTGTAATTCGGTATTTACAGTATTGGCTAGCGTGACTGGGCTCGGGTGGGAGAAGACGTATGTTGTGTCATCAGCAAATAGTGTGGGTTTGAGTAATTGCGAAGCATTTGGTAGGTCATTTATGTATAGGAGAAAGAGAAGAGGGCCAAGGACACTTCCCTGTGGGACACCAACTGTAATTGGTTGTGCAGAAGAGTTTGCCCCATTTGTGTACACATATTGGCTTCTGTTGCTGAGGTATGACTTGAGGTAGTTGAGGGAGTGCCCTCTTATACCATAGTGTGACAATTTTACGTGGAGCAAGTCATGGTCAACTGTATCAAAAGCTTTACGTAAGTCAATGAAGATCCCCAGTGGGACTTCTTTTTTCTCTATTGCAGTGTATATATGTTCTAGCATGTGTATAATAGCATCATTAGTATTTTTATTAGGCCTGAATCCAAATTGGCAGGGGTTGAGTATGTTTTGGGAGATAAGGTAGGAGTACATGCTGACTGACTTACTGACTGAATGACTTGACTGACGGACTGAATGACTTGACTGACTGAATGACTTGACTGATTGAATGACTTAACATTAGACTTTTTTTTACTGAAGAGGACCTTGCAACTGTATTTAGAGTAGCTGATACCTTACCATCAATTGTATAATGTACTGCAGGGTAAAATAGAACAGAAATCCATTAGAGAATTTATGCACACTCCAGTACAACCATCGACTTCAGTGCCAGAACCTTTAACATCCACCTCAGCCCAGTAGGACCACAACATAACTCTCCACTCTCTTCACAATCATCCACAAACACCAGCACCCACAATTTAAGGTAAGAAATACTATTATTTCTGTTGCAGTTGTAGTCTTAAGCAGTAAAAACAACATAATACATCACAACAATGAGCTACAATTATATATTCACTTTAACTTTTTTAAGATCTGGAGGTCTAAAAAACAACTGTTCAGGCTGTCAACACCCACCCATTTAACCTTTCTTTTTTTTTACAACAGTGACATGTTGTCTGTGGTTAAGAGGACGGACTCTTTATTCAGGAGACATATCGCCCACAACAAAACGCAATAAACTGGATATTGTTACTTATTTGTTTGAGGGGGAAGCTCGCATCCTGAATTTTTGCTCGTACCCAGAAACAAAAAATCGAACAAGCGACTGCTTGTATCCTGAAAAACTCGTATGGTGGGGCACTCGTAAGCTGAGGTTCCACTGTGTTTGTTTATTCCAGTGCTTTGTAAAGTAGGTCTAGCATTTTTATTATTGCTTCATTTGTGCTTTTGTTTCTCCTGAAGCCAAACTGGCAGGGGCTCAGGATACTTTGTGATGTTATGAAGGAGTATAACCTTTTGTGTATGAGTTTCTCAAAGATTTTGGAAAGTAAAGACAAGTTTGATATTGGTCTATAATTGCTTACTTATTTACATCTCTTGGGTCACCTCCTTTGTGCATTGGTGTAAGTCTTGCTATTTTGAGTGATGCCGGGAAAGTGTTTGTTTCTAGTGATTTGTTGAAGAGTAATGTAATGGTAGGTGAAAGGATCTGAGTAGTTCGTTTGTACGGTAGTGGTGGTACTTGGGTTACGTTTCCTAATTTGTTTTTAAGAGAGTAACGTCAGTGGGCTCTGTTGATGTTAGATAGAGGGATGTTGGGAAGTTTCCATCTAGATAATCATTAGCTCGGTCATTGGTAATTGGAATTTTACTGGCGAGCTTATAAACCTTCACCTCTCTCCTACTTCCTCATTCCATTCTCCTTGTATCTTGTCTACCTTTTACTCTCACTGTAGCTACAACTAAAAAATGATCTGATATATGTATGGCCCCTCTATAAACATGCACATCCTGAAGTCTACCCACCAGTCTGTTATCTACCAATACATAGTACAGGTTGGACATCACTAATCTGGCACTAATTTTGGCTAGCATAATTTCAAATTTTCGGGGGCAAAACACCAACCTGCCACTACTGTTTGATGATGCTTCTAGCTGCACAAGCCATTCCAGTTTTTTCCATTTATTGTTATATCCTGCTTACTTGTAGCCCTAGCCATGGTTCCAACGAATAAAAGACATTTCTTCTCATTTTATAAAGCACATACACTGTACATTATCCATAAAAGATAAGATAGCTTTGAAGCCACTGCTGGAATCCACAGCTCAGCTCACTCAGATAAGCTGTGACCAGTGAACTTGGACCTACATATGAGGGAATAGGTCTGTGTGGTAAGTATGCACTGTATAAAAAAAAAATCCTGCAGCACACAGTGCATAATGAGAAAAAATTGTGACCGTGTTTTTGGTATAAAACAGCATCTTGGCGATATATTTTTTGTATGATTTTTATGGATTTATTCTCATTTTTTAGGTCTCGTTTGACAGAATGGAAAATATATTACAGAAGTAGTTATAATTTTGATTGGTTTCATGATGATGAGTGCCTTGAAATTGAGCTCGAAGTAGCTGAAATGTTCAGTTTTTGCCGACGTTCAATACATGTCCAACTGGCCCGTCTAATATGTAGTCATGAATGGGTTGACATTATTTATACAATTATTACAAAAATGCAGTAGTCTGCATAACAGTAAGTCTTCTATTTTTTGTGTGAATAAAAATTTAAAATGGAAAGCAAGAGTAATATAAGAGGGCCATGGAGATGTGACTAATGAATAGAGAAAATGTTATTTTAGTGCCAGGAGTGTCTGCATTGTTTATTCTGGGTGCTATTTTGAAATTGGCATCTCTTGAAATTTGTGTGAAATTGGCCAGATTACCGATTTCTGACCACTTTATTGTGTAGTTGAAATAGGTAAATGGGCTGTTTCTTGTACTCAGTCGACAGAATAGAAGGAATACTAGCAAAATAGCTATGAGTATGGTAGACTGCCCTATTTTTATGCCAAAAATAGGGCATAAAATGGGTGAAATTGCCAATGTGTAAATATCGCCGTTGAGTAATGTGTATTCTAACCTAACCACTCTGTAATCCTGCAGAATCACTAATCCGGCACCCTACGGTTCCCAGTGATGCCGGATTAGTGATGGTCAACCTGCACAACAAGTTACTGTCATTTTGCTGTAAATCGTATCTGGTATGCTTAACTATGAGTGAATTTTATGTACTATATTAAGTAAGTACTATATTTAAGTAAGTTTTGTACATCCGCTTTTTGTTGAGTTATTATTAAATTTAGGTGATTTGCTGTAGTGTATCCCCAGGCACAAATAGCATAGGTGAGGTAGGGATAGATTAAAGACTAGTTTAATGTAAGTATTGCTTTTTGAGAGACATAGTAATGTATCTCAGAGAGGATGCCAGCTGATTTGGATTTTCTTTTTATGTGTTGAATGTAGGTGTTGAATTTCAAGTTGCTTTGTTTTGTCTTGCAATGAGAGAATCATTAACCATATCATTTAGTTAGACATGTGTAGCTCTGTTCCCAAATATCATGTAGAAGGCCTTACCATTGTTAAGAGTGAGTTTATTGGTGGTCATCCAAGTTGATATCTTTCGGAACTCCTCATTAGCAGCATTATTGAGAGAATTTGAATTTGGGTGGGAAATGACAAGAGTTGTTGTGTCTACAACCATAACAGGTCTAAGTTATTGAAATGTATTTGGAAGATCATTAATTTATATGAGGAAAAACAGAGGACCGAGAGCACTGCCTTTGGGTGCCCATACATCAGCAGGTTGCTTTGACGAGTTATACTCTTGATGGAGACATATTGGTGTCTGTTGTTAATGTAGGACTTTAGGTATGCAAGTGAACATTGAGGCACAAGGGACTGGGGTTGTATGATATGGGATACCTTCCTCAGATCATGCAGGGACTAAAGTACATCATTCTAGAAAGAATAAAAAGGCACAATACCATGACTAGAACAGTACATGAATAACCTGCACATACCTGGAGAGGGTTTCAGGGGTCAATGCCCCTGAGGACCGGTCTGTGACCAGGCCTCATGGTGGATCGGGCCTGATCAACAAGGCTGTTACTGTTGGCTGCCCACAACCCGACGTGTGAATCACAGCCTGGCTGGTCAGGTACTGACCAGCCTTCTAGCCAGTGCCTTCTTGAAGACAACCAAGGTCTATTGGTAATCCCCCCTTATGTATGCTGGGAGACAGTTGAACAGTCTTGGGCCCCTGACACTTATTGTTTTGTCTCTTATCGTGCTAGTGGCACCCCTGTTTATCATTGGGGGATGTTGCATTGTCTGCTGAGTCTGTTGCTATCATAGGGAGTGATTTTCATGTGTAAGTTTGGTACTAATCCCTCTTGGATTTTTCCAAGTGTATATAATCATGTATCTCTCCCTCCTGCATTCTAGGGAGTACAGATTGAGGAACTTCAAGTGTTCCCAATAATTGAGGTGTCTTATTGCAGTTGTGTGTGCTGTGAAAGTTCTCTGTACACTTTCTAGGTCAGCAATTTCACCTGCCTTGAAAGGTGCTGTTAGTGCACAGCAATATTCCAGCCTAGATAGAACAAGTGACCTGAAGAATGTCATCATGGGCTTGACATCCCTGGTTTTGAAGGTTCTCATTATCCAACCTGTCGTTTTTCTAGCAGATGCAATTGATACAATGTTATGGTCTTTGAAGGTGAGATCCTCTGACATGATCACTCCCAGGTCTTTTATGTTAGTTTTTC